TATAAATACATACAAAATAATACAAAATATAAAGTTTTACATTCTACATATTTGTATTTGTACTTCTTCCAAACTCAGCCTATATAATTCCATCTTACAATATACTGTAAGGCACGGATTTTGAATATGAATAGAAAATCTGAATTCCTTCTGAGAATCAAAGAAATAGGAAAAATTACCATCAATTGTGCTCAAACCGGATGTATTGTTGAGGCCCATCTTGTAGGGCCACAGCAATACATTGAAGCCCATGATTCTACGGTTTTAGCCTAGAGGCTATTGGCTATTCCGAAGGGCGTTGTGGATTTCTCCGCATTGAGTGTTGAACAATGATGAATAGAGAAGGCAACCATGAACCATCATCAGTCCATCACTGTCTTGTGAGAAGCAGTGCAATATTGTATTTAGCTGACCCCACAAAGGCAGGATAAGGCTTAGATAATGATACGATAATGATGATTCGTACATCTGCCTGATACGATATTCATGATCTTAAATTGCCACGTCCAATGTTCCATGGGTCAATGATATTAGGCTTATCAGCACAAGAGATTCCCCATTCTTGATGGGTCCCACTTTTTCAAGTATGTAGATGAAAATTTTACAGGTGGCCAAAACACAGATGCATGCTTCACACTCCAAAGTCGACCCAAGACATTCCGTCCTCACTCAATGAGTGCCCATATGGGTGGGCCTTTTGCGCGGCGCCTTCTGGCCCAGCAAACTAGGACTCACACGAAAAGCATTAAATTACATATTTATTAAAATCCTTGAAAACTCAAAATTACACTTTATATGAGATGAATAGTCAGCTTTGTGGTGAAATTGCTTTTGTTGGTATAAAGGACAATTTTTTCGGAAAAGTACGGACAGATTTAATGTAGATTTTTAAATTCTTTTACAGAATTATAAATATTTAAAATGTCAAAAATCTTTACTCTATTCCCTGAATTGGCATTAATTCTGAGCTGATACCCACCCTAATTATACTTTGAGTTTAAAAATTCTGACCCTGAACTAAACTGTTATTCTCCCATTTTTTTTTCTTTTGAAGGAAAGGTCTTATGGCCTTCCTTCATCAATCAACATATTCAATCAAAATTGAAGCTAGGGCTGTCAATGAATTGGGTTTAAGTAAAATCAGTCCTCAATTCATTATTAATCAGAAAAAAAAAATCACAGATTCAGAACTGTCCTGTCCTGGTTAATAATCAAGTCTATGGAGATCTAATAGACCTGACTTTACTGAAAACTATATTTATTTATTCACATAATAACTTAAATTTTAAATTTTGATTATAAAACTTTAATACAAATGAAAGAAAAATCTTAAATTATTTATGTATTATTAAATTAAATGTTTTATCTAATATTATCTTATTTATTATTCATCAAATTTATCATTTTAAATATAAAGTAAGATAAAAATTATAAAAAAATTAAAAAATATTATATATATTTAATAAAATAATCAGATCTTGAATTATTATTCAGGATAAATCATGAAACCAAACCATTATAATAGATTCATTCTGTTCGAATCCATCGGATAGACCTGACCCATTTACACCCTAGCTGAAGCCTTCACATGCGCCTCTAAAATGGTTTTCAGTTGTAAAATTGTTGTTTGGTTACTTGCTTTTGGAGGTCTTCGAGAGTAACAGAATAGTTGATTTGAGTCTTGGGTTGGTCCGATAAAGCAAGTTTTACCTGGCAAACTTCAAACTCGACATACGAAATTGAGAAGACGAGAATGAATTTAATTCAAATATTCAATACCATATAAACGCGCTGAAGCGAGGCGACCAAATGGGCCGAGTCAACCATTAATGGAGAAAGCCCACCGCCACGTTGCGTCTTCCCTATTTCCTTTATGAGAAAAGTTAAACATCACCATATACCTGGCAAAAGACGATCGCCGATTGCCGACTTCTCTACCGCTGGCTGCATCATATCATCCTATTCTCTTTCTTTCCTCCAAAACACCTCTGGATTATCACTTAATTACACGTGATGCCCTTCATTTCGTAATTTTAAAACTTGCCCAACACGAATCCAGACCGATGATTGATTCGATGGTTGAATTTTCACCCACTTCCATTTAGGAAAAACTTTAGCTGTTGGGGCCAACAACGTTATTAAAAATTAAAACATGGGTAAATTAATCATTTTATCTTAATTTCAACACGAATACAGACCGATGAATGACTCGATGGCTTTCCACCCACTTCCATTTAGCTGTTGGGCCAACAACGTTATTAAAAATTAAAATATGGGTAAATTAATCATTTCCACTGAAAAACCTTAGCCACTGGGGCCAACAACGTTATTAAAAATTAAAACATGAGTAAATTAATCATTAGATCTTAATTTATTTTGACTAAAAAGTAAAATATTCGCATGAACAAGTGAACGGCCCAAAATGTATTCAGCTCAGAAACTGTCTCAACAGCCCATGCTGTTGGGCCCCAACAGCCAAAGTTAACCCTTCATTTAAAATGCGTTGGATCAAATCCGCGGATATACATATATTATACACAGATTCTCTCCCTATGGTATGGCCAGTGGACCTCACGTGCATCTAAATCTGCCCCACCTCTAATCTCTCTGAAAATGACTAAAAAAAGGTGGGTCACCACCTAAGTCCAAACAACTTAATATGTAATCCGGATGTGCCCAAGTGTCAAACTGTAATCAGTTGCCAGATGGCAAGATTGGCAAGATGAAGCCCCGTGTTTTGAACAGACACCCGGTTTCTGTAGCAAAGCCAAAGCGGATGGATCTAATCTAAAGATGTAAAATAAATAAAAAAACTTTATTCCAATTTTATTAGAAAACATTATCAAATATAAAAACAGACGAGGACTTGGCCCGTCTTGCTCCAAATCGAAAAAATACAATCTCTTTCTCACACTCATCCCAACCTGAAAAAAGAAAAAAAAAATACAAGAGGCTATACATGTTACTCCCACTACCTTCTTTTCGAGTTGAAGCCTTCACCTTCTCTTATTTTATTTTGTTTTGGCAATCCTTCTTTCTTCTTTTTGTTTTATTTTAAACACGCATGATTCACTGATTTGACTTGGGAGAGTTTGATTTGGGGTGTGTCAACCCTAAATGTATTAGAATAAGGAGAATGTAACAGAAACAAGGTTGATACGAAGATGTACAATTGTTAGATTCTTGTAAGTTGTAATATTAAATATAAATCATAAAAGTTAAATTTGATTAATATCCTGACTCGTAGAACTATATAATATGTACTCTAACCATAAATGATAAATTTGACTTAGCCTGTATATGGGTACCCAATAGTATACTGTAAAGCTAAGCCAATTTACCAACTTATGAAGTATGATCTACTAAAATGGTTCACCTATTATTGTAGCGGATCAAGAAAATCACTCTAATTATCAATAAATCCCTCAATCTGATCCAAATCGATTCAAATTGATTTAAATCAATCAGGTTGGTTTTACTTAGTATTGGGTCGATTTCGATTTCATTTCTAGATAAATCGACTAAATCGGGTCGATTGAAAAAATGCTAGTAAACCGACCCAACCCAACCCGTAAACAGTTCTAAATATAACAAAAAAAAGAAAGGCCAAGTGTCTAAAAGAATATATAAGGAGGAGCTGCGTAACAAACCCATTTTCATTTTTGTGTGTTACAGCTTTGGCGTCAGTAGTCGTCAGTGGGGTTAGGCCGTGGCCCACTGTCATTCACAACGCTGAGAACCTGCATCTCCGCTCGGACCGAGGGGTGCCAAATAACCACCTAATACACCCTCTTTTTGTGTTGGAATGTGTATTAGTTCTTTTGTTTAGTCTCTAATTGAATGAAATTATTATCTTTTCTACCAAAAAAAATTAGACCCTCTTTTGGTTTCTAAGAATTTTTTGGTAAATTTTTGTCTCTTAGAATTTGGGAACCTCAATTGTTAATTGGCATCATTTGGGGAAGTAACTATCATACAAGATCTGGCACTGGCACAGAGATGACCTCAATTTTAATTATTGCTTCGGGTAAAGTCTGTAGCTGAGTACAGTGAAAGATAGGATAGCAAAGGGGTGGATTTTGAAAGGGTTTTATAAATTCTACTCTTTTTAACTTTTTAATCCGTATCCTCCCAAAGCCTGCAGTATATCTGATTTTCAGAATTAATTCAAATAATAGATCTCCAGATATGAAGATACAAAAACCTCTCCGAACCCTACCCTTTTTGCATGTGAAGGTGAGTCGATCGGGTTCAGAACCCATATCTAATTTCTTATTATATATAACTAATAAACAAATAAAATAATATAAATAAATATGAAGTTTTATAATTATTTTATGTAAATAAATAAAAAGTACATTAACCATCAATTAATTATCCTTAACATAATATTCAAAACATTATTAAATCAATATATAATACTTAAACCCATATTCCTTACAACAACAATATACTGATTGAGAAAGATAATAATATGGTATATACCCTTTATGTATGGGCTCATCATAAGTTCGGCTTCGGTCAATACAACCGCTTACTCATACCATTGGAACAACCTCTTGTATGAAATTTGGGAATATTTCCTCATGAAATAAAACATATAAATATGGAATTTGTATTAATCGAAGTCAACTCTCATGACAAATCCAGATCTCCTATCAATAAAACACATTCTAACCCTCTAATAATATGATCTTACATGGCACATCTCATATGTAACCACTTTTATGATGGATCCTAATCTTAAAGTTAGCTTTTATTGTCTTGGATTGAAAATATCTTCTTTATTTCATGAGAGATATTCTTAATGTAAGATATTTGGCATGATAGAAACCAATCTATAATGTTAAATGCTGTATTAGATCAAATTAAAGGGTTGGAACGTATTTTGTTGGTAGAAGTCATCAGCTCGCGCTCATGACAAAATTAGACTTCATCCAAGTGTTTACATCCTGAGAAAGCTGAAACCGTCAGCATACATCATATAACACGTTACACGTAGAATCTAGGAAATGAGGAAGATCGGAAGCTGCGATTCACACGGGCAATAGCTGGATCTTCACTGTCGACACACTCAGATAGATGATGGCATCACCGTAATAATGGGAAATTCTGAGGGGTATTTTTATTCACGTCGATGTATATAATCGGATGCAGTGCTGAGGCTTGTAGCAAACCAAACCAAGAGAGAGTGAGCGACTGAAATGATGACGACGACTGGCAAAGCTTTCTCCTTCAAAGCCCTTCTCTTGTACATCTCTCGGATTCTCCTTAGAAGATTAAGGAATCCACGCTCCTTATGGAGAAAGGGCAGCAATGCTCAACTTTTCGGTCAACCCAGATTTCAAAAGTTTCATTCTTTTGCCCACAGATCAGAGATTTCAGACCAAACTCTGATCTTTGATGTCGAGGGAGCATTGCTGAGACCCTCTTCTTTGTTTCCTTATTTCATGCTTGTTGCCTTTGAAGCTGGAAGTCTTCTGAGGTCTCTTGTTCTCCTTCTTCTCTACCCTTTTGTTTGTATGGCAAGTGAGGAGATGGGGCTGAAGATAATGGTGTTCGTCTGTTTCTTTGGGATTAAAAAGGAGAGCTTTAGAGTTGGGGCGGCCGTGTTGCCAAAGTTTTTCTTAGAGGATGTTGGGGTGGAAGGTTTCGAGACGTTGAGGAAGTTCAGAAGAAATGTGGGTGTGAGTGCTTTGCCCAAAGTGATGGTGGAGGGATTTCTGAGAGATTATTTGGGCGTCGAATCTGTCGTGGGGAGAGAGCTGAAGGTGTTTCGTGGATACTTCGTCGGTCTAATGGAGGACAAGGAGAAAACCAGACACGTCTTGCAGAAGGTCTTTGGAGAAGACACACTGAGTAGTCGTGATATTGTCGGAATTGGTGGCTTCAATAAATCTCTCGATCACCAGGTGTTTTCCTACTGCAAGGTCAGTCATTTAGATTGAATGTAGTCAATCTCTCTCTCTCTCTCTCTCTCATATTTGCTCCAACTTATCTCTGTTTTACATTTTGCAATTGTAACAGGAGATTTACTTGGTGAGTGAAGCAGAGAAGAGGAACTGGAGTCAGCTGCAAAGGGAAAACTACCTCAAACCGCTCATCTTTCACGATGGAAGGCTGGCTTTTAGACCAACACCACTCGCCACTCTGTTCGTATTTATGTGGATTCCACTGGGTTTTACCATTGCCATCATCAGAGCCATTGTCGCTTTGTTATTACCCTACAAGATCTCTACCCCTATTCTTGTCTTCACTGGGATGAGGCTCAAGCAGACGATACCAAAATCTTCTCCTTCAATGTCAAGAACCAACAAAGATAGAGCAAAAGGGATTCTGTACGTATGTAACCACAGAACACTCCTAGACCCACTCTACCTTTCTACCGTCATCAACAAACCCCTCACTGCAGTCACGTACAGCCTCAGTAGGGTCTCGGAGATCTTGGCACCCATCAAAACAGTCCGATTGACAAGAGATAGAGAGCAAGATGCAGAGATGATGGAGAAGCTCTTGAGCCAAGGTGACCTTGTTGTGTGCCCAGAAGGAACCACCTGTAGGGAGCCCTATCTGCTGAGGTTCAGTCCATTGTTTGCAGAGATGAGCAACAACATAGTGCCAGTAGCCATGGACACCCATGTTAGCATGTTTTATGGTACAACGGCAGGTGGGCTCAAATGCTTGGACCCACTTTTCTTCCTCATGAACCCATTTCCTGCTTACAAGGTCCGGTTGCTAGAAGAGATACGTGGGTCGTCCAAGCTCCATGACAGTGCTCAGTCGAGGTTTGATGTTGCCAATAATGTACAGGAGGAGATCGGTAGGGTATTGGGTTTCGAGTGCACTACACTTACAAGAAAGGACAAGTATTTGATCTTGGCAGGTAACGAGGGGATTGTTAGAACTGATAACAAACCCCAAAATCAGAGAGGAACATGTAACAATTGATGAACTCGAATCCTTAGGTGATCACTGTGGAATTTATATATGGGCCACGTTGTCACTTAATTTCCCATCTATATATTTATATAACTTTTTAATTAAACTAACTAGACAACTTTAATTTGTACGAGTTCATGAATTTCAGTGATATAATATAGTGGCCTTATAGTGCATCAGTTTGCTTTTAACTAGGCAAGTTCTCTCTTTTTTTTTTTTTGCCTAGCTTTTACCTTTTCTTTTAATTATTTTTTCTCAATTATTTTTAAGTACTGTTTATTATTATTACTACACATTTTATAGTTATTACTGGCTAGTTGTAATATAATTATTACTACACATTTTGTTTGTAGTTTATCTGGGTTGTATGTGTATGCATCAAATTTGTACCAGATCATGAATTTCAGTGAAACAGTGACCTGCAGTTTGGTTTTGACTTGTGCAAGGACTACTTCCTCTCCAAATATCAACATGAACTCACTTTATGGCCATTACCTCTGAATTTAATTCTTTGTCTTCTGCTTTATTCGTTTAGAATTTTGTAACCTATGTGGATGTTATCTAAAAAATATTTATCTAGGTAAATAAATTCATTTATTTATGTTCTTTTTATTTCTATGCAAGTAATATAATTACTTTTCTATTCATAAAAAGTTAATGTCAAAATAGATAAACTTGTCTTGTTATGTTATTTAATTTTTTTCTGAAAAAGTAATTCGCCTCGATATGGATAAGTTTAACTCGGATAAAACTCTTTTTACCGTGTGGGGTCCAGAAGTTACCACAAAAAGAATGTTGTAAAGTTGGTCAATGGAAAAGAAATACCCATTGATTAACTTCCCCTCCCCCCTATTTACTGGTTAATGAATGGGGCCTTCATCACTAATCCAGATGTGATTAGGCTTGAAATTAAGCAGAGAGAGAGAGAGGGCCCTATGCTATTATATCACTGGGGTCGAGAAGTTACCACAAAAAGAATGTTGTAAAGTTGGTCAATGGAAAAGAAATACCCATTGATTAACTTCCCCTCCCCCCTATTTACTGGTTAATGAATGGGGCCTTCATCACTAATCCAGATGTGATTAGGCTTGAAATTAAGAAGAGAGAGAGAGAGGGCCCTATGCTATTATATCACTGTTACAGAAATAATCGTATCAAGTTTAGGGGAAATAAATTGGTACAAACGAGAGAACCTGAATTAGTATGTGTTTGGTTCCCTGGGCATTTATGGATAGGCCATTTATTTGTACTTTTTTCACTTTAAACATTTATTTATACTTTTTCACTTTAAACGTTTTATACTTTAAACGTTTCTTGTTTGGTTAGCCTTCACTTTAAACATTTTTTACTCTCCACCTCAAATTAATACCCATTAAAGTGTGTCACATCAGCATTTGGTTTCAAGAAACAACGGCTTATTGGGAGAAACAAGAATTTGACATTTCCCCAAATGCCCCATGTACAAAAATCAAAGCGTTTCAGTTTTATACCATTTATTTGATAAACGGTGAAACCAAACAATTGTTTCATTTTGCTTCATATGAAATAAACACTAACGCCTATGTGACGCTGATGTGGTAGCATTTTTTCAATAAATGCCCATGGAATTGAACACAACCTTAATATCTGCTTGAGAAAAAAAATCCAGCTTCACTTGAAGTTAAATATTTTTTATTGATTGTACTACTTCAAGTATGACAGTATAGTGAGAGTAGGTACAATTTTTAGGTTTCATAAAATTAATTTTGGGGCTCTAATTAATGTGAAAACCTAACTAGAACATGAACCAACACCTTATGGTAATTTTATTATTACATGACATTAAATACATTTGAGGGAAATCACTACAGCTTTAAAGTTCAAAGTATGAACTTTTTGTTTGTTTATAGGATTCAACTATGATATGGAAAATATATGATATCTGAAAAACTTCTGCCGAGTCAACTGGAATAAAAAATGTGGTATCAGGTTATCAAAATTCATGAGTGGGTTTTGATTGGTCAAAATTCTTCTGATATCATATCTTTCCTGCATCATAGATTTTCCCTTGTTTATATTTAGAAGTGAAAAAACAAAACTATCACTTGATGCGAATATGAAACAAATAATTTTTCTCAGCAAAATAGTTCATAAACAAGGCACATACTATTAACTGTTTTAACTAAAAAATAACCTAGCTAGCTCCAAAACTTATATAAACTCAAGCTGGCTATAAATTTGGGTCAAATTTCATCAACCATTATGATTCAGAAACTAATATTTTTAGAGTCCCAATCCAGTAACATCTACATTCAAAGATCTGTTTTGGCATTGTTTAATAAACTTTTATTTTTTTTTCTTTTCATTTATTGGCAATCGAGATACACAGAAGAAAAGAAGGAAGGAAAAAGAAAAAGAAGGAAGAAGGAAGTGATAATCATGCATGCAAATCCTTTAAGACACTCAACTACCAAGAGTGGGAAAGAATCCCTACATAAATGAAGGCTCTTAATACCTGCTTGGCTACTCCAGTTGGAGTAAGGATCATCTAATTAAATAAACCATTTTGGTAAGGAGAAAGAGAATTGAAGGCTACCCCAGCATATTAAAGGTTTCTTCATCTGGGGTTATAATGCAAGGCACAAGCTAACGGTCTTCACCAGTGCATAATAAACTGCTTTTTCTAAGTGTAGGATATTATGTTTCCAAAATCGAGGTGCACCAGTGCATGAAAATGGCGAGTGAATGATATATTGTATGGCAAGTGGAAAATAATCTAGTGTTGACAATAAAAGTCTCTACTATTTATTTAACAGGATTAATTCCCCCCTTTGGTTATATATAATTGTTTCACATTTTGTCACTTCTGATTAAAAAATAAGTTATTGTATATAAAGGTGGTTGATTCCTTTAAACACACAAAACAAACTAATTTGCTACTACCACTTTTACCCAATATTCATCTGATCAATCAGCAAATTTAAATCTGATAAACTCCCTCCATTTTTAATTCTTAGGCATGATTCCCAACTCCAAGCACATAAAGAAATCCCAAGCTGTCGATTTAAATATCTAATCGTTAGTAGTTTAATTACACCCTGCTGTTAGCTTTTGTGGAGGGACCATGTGCAGCAAAGTTATATGGCTTTTAGGGGTGAGCAAGAAAAACTGAAAAATCAAAAAACTGAATCAAACCAATGAGACCAAATAAAAAAGCCTCATTAATGTAACTTGTCAGTTTGGTTTTGGCTAATCAATATAAAAAAAGGTGATTAATCGAACCAACTAGTATACATATATTTCTATATATTATATATATTTTTTATATATATATTATAAATTAATTAATGTGCATTATAAATAAATATATATTATTTATTATTTAAAACATAATATTTTATATGTATTTTTATTTTTTATTATATATTCATATAATTTTTAAAGTATATATTATAAATATAAAAAACCAAACTGATGATTAACTGAACCAATCAATCGATTAACCGATTAATTTTGATTACTGATTTTTCAGAAACCAATAATATCAATTCGATTAACCGAACCATTGCATGACTTCCACAATATGTTCATCAGAAGAGAGTAATTGCAAAGAGATGGAACATTTTCTATGGCCCTTTGGCAGAAACCATCAACACTCATTTGTCCCATGGCTGCATTTCCAAGGAGAAAACCCAAGTGTTGGACTTATTCAACACCATTCGTTTACCTTGATGAACTTATTCAAACTGCTGACTCGATCAATATATTTGAATAATTAAGAAGAACATGAGGACTTTGCTCTCTTGGAATGAATCAGTACTAGCCTGCATAAGAGTGGTATTTGGCTGATTACTATTAATATAGTTATTATTATCTTATTGAACATTTTACCGTTATTAGTATTATTAAATTTTGAATCGGATATCTTGATTCTTGAACAGCTGAGACGACTTGGGGTTCAATATTCAACGATCTTTACAAATGGTTCCTCAGGTAGAGGAACTGTTACTGTATGACTTTGCCGCTTAGGCTCCATTTGGAAGAAGTATAAATACAAATATCTACAATGTAAATACATATAAAATAATACAAAATACAAGGTTTTGCGTTCTATATATTTGTATTTGTACTTTTTCCAAATTGAGCCTTAAAAGTTAATTATCCATTTGTCCCAAATGCTACAAATTCATATACATTCAACAATATTATCACCTCAGCCAATAAGGATAAAGCATTCAGAATGTAACCGATACATATGGTATAACAGGAAAAAAGGTAGATAGGCCTTAGACCAATTCCTTGCCAATTTTTGAATGATATAACAGGAAAAAACAAAGAATGTGATCAAAACACCTTATACTACTAAGGGGTGAACAAAAAAAACTGAAAAACCGAAACAATTGAAAAAATTGACCGAAACCAAACCAAAAATTTGGTTAATCCAATCAGTCAGTTCGGTTTCAATTAACCAAAATAGAAAATCAGTGGTTAATTGAACCGACTGATATACATATTATGTATATTTATATATATTATATTTTTTATACATTATAAATTAATAAATATATATTCTATATATAAATGTATATTTATAATGTATAATATATTATTTATTATTTAAAATATAATATTTTATATATATTTCTAATGTTTTATTATATATTTATATATATTTATAATATATTGTAAATAATAAAAAACCGAAGAATCGACAAACCAAAATGATGATTAAACAAATCGATTAACTGATCGCATTTACCGGTCCGGACACACTCCTTATATTACTCATTTCGCGTATTGGAGTGTATCAACTATCAATACTTTGAAGTTTGAACCTTAGCTTGAATTTAGCTCGACCCAATTAAACCAATAGGTAGAAATAGCTACGTACGTACACATAGAGTTTTTGTTTAGGGGTTTGCTGGCTCGAGGGAGTAGTTGAAAGTTCAAACTTTTGACAGCCTTTGGCCATGTCTATCCTCCCTAATACTTGGCAGGTATTACGCAACGAGGACTCCCTAAAAAAAAGTCAAGAATGGAGCGTCTGACTTTGCTTCCTTGCTTCAATTAAAAATATAATTAAGTAGATCCCTTCATTAATTACCAAAGATAAACAAGTTGATCCATCAATTCAACCACTCCCATCTCATCAAATCCAATATATCAGGAGGAATCCATGAGCAAGTGCATTGACGATGCGGCCACTGTCCAGTGATTCTTAGTCAAAGGGTTCCCTCTTTCTCTCTTTTGAACTAAGAAAATTCTGTAAAGTCAGTCGGGATCATATCCCGGGCTTTGCACCATTGACCTTACCAGAATAATCTCATATATAGTAGCAATTAATGAACTGTAGAGTTATATACAAACTGCATTGTTAAGTTGTGTTGATGCTCGGGTTGGCCGAGGATAATAAGGTAATTTCGCTTTTGAACTTTGGTGAAGATAGTCGAGGGCTTTGAAGGCCTAGAAAGGGAAAGTTGAGGTCGAGGACTATGTTCGAGGTGGTAGGTCT